AATTTTTTATTTTTAATATAGAAAATATTGACTAAACCATTTAAATTGTTAACATAAGCAAATATTTATTAAAAATATTTATAACATATTAAATCTCACTTTTATAATTTGCTTGATTTGAGAGAAGGAAAGGGGAGAGGAGGTGCTTTCTTTTATAATTTTGGCATAAACGAAACAAGAAAAAGTGAAGAGAAATAGAAAGATATTATCTTTCCTGACCTCCATTTCTTCAAACCAAGCAAAAGTTAATTAATAAGTAATTAATAAAAATTATTAACTTATAAAGTTAAATTGAAAATTTAAAAACTAAACACTTAAAATAATTTAATTTATTTGAATGCAGTAAGTACCTATAAAAATTTTCTTTCTCAAAATCCTTTGGAAACAAATTCGTCTCAAGCTTTAGAACGATCCCTCAACGTCCAAGAAAAAAAAAAAAGAAAATCCAAGAAAAGGGAACTTCCCTCTTGGATTCCTTTACGCGTTGTATTGTTGCAAAGGTGGTTCTCAAAAGGTGAAATATGTTAAGCAAAGGTGGGCCATTATCATCCCCCCAGCATCCGAGGTAGATCCTTAAGCAACCACCATTTCAAAAGTAAATGATTCCATGAACCTAACAAATTCAGCACAAACGCTTCCAATTTTGCTTTTCTCTCAAGCAACAAAAATACCCCAATTGGTCTAGTTTTCACTTAATTATTCCCAAGCCCATACATAAATTCTTGCAAAAGTAAAATTCTTTTAGCTGTCAATCTTATCCATGAAAAGAAAAACCCAATGAGAGTCTAACCGAATTGATATTTTATTAAATTAAAAATTTTTCAATTTGAACCAGCCCATTCTATATGAAAATGTCTTTTTTTAAACATAATATAATGTTATTCCAGTCTGATGCATTAAGGAAGAATTGAAATTAACCTAGATATACCATTTTTTTTTTCTAATCTAAGAATGGAAAACAGATTTTTGATAAAACGAAAGTTGAGTCAATTCATTGTTTTCCTAAAAGAAGAATGATATGGAGAACGGGGTGGAAAATAACCAAAATTGGATTCCGTTTTTCTAATATGTCTAAATATCAAAATTGAAGCATCAAAAAGCCACTATCCTCATATAATCCCAACATAATATTTACAGAGATACAAGGATGATGAAAAAGGGGAAAAAAAAGAAGGAAAAGACCTAAAAAATGGTATAGGAAAACAGGGGAAGCATTAAGTAATAGCCGGCCAAAAAGACCCTGTTTTTTCCTTTGTGTGAAGACAGCGGTCCACAAAGACGGTACCCAGTCTTATTCTGAAAATCCGATCATCTTGACCCCTACATGTCTCCAACAGAGATGGGTCTACCGCCTAATCCCAACGGCGACCGGGAAAGCTGCTGCTTTGTGATCTCTCTGAGAACCGGCCTCATCTCCGGCGCCGGCCAGTCCTCGATTTTCTCTGATTCTTGCTTTATCTTCCTGACCTGGCTGTGAACCGGAATTCCCATATCTTCCTTTCCCTTTTTCGTGCCTATAATTTTGTTTTCCTCCATATCTCTGCTGTTGGAAGAAGACTGAACAAAACTGAGATATGAATGAAGAAAGAAAAAAGGGTTTCTCTACCTTCTCTACTTGCCTCTATGACTATATATCTGTATCTTCAAAATAATCTATAATATGAGTGATGTGTGTGAATGGGAATTTATATATAGGGGGAAAAGCAATGGGTAAATAGGAATTCCAAGTTGAAACGTAACATGACAGGGAACAGACAAGTTTGGTTGAGAAGTCTTTCTTTTGATCAATTCCAACACTAAGACTACTACTAGAGAAATATAATTACTTAATAGTAGGTAATTACTAAAATAGCAGAGTATAATTTTATTAGGGATCTGGATTAGTAATTCAAATCAGTAAATAATGAGTAAAAGATATATGATGATAGCTATTGTTGTTTACGTTTAGATTCTTAAGAATATTTTTTATTCTACTACACAACTCTTTAAAATGAAAATTGCATCATTTTTCTTAAACGTGTTTAGGTGGTTATTTCTTATGCTTTTACTTATTCTATTTATATATCGTGTAATTTAAATTTTAATAACTTTTATTTAACTTAAGTTGTTAGCACCAAAGGTAATAATTTTTCCTCAATAAATTTGACAATTGGGTAAAATAAATTTAGTGTAGTAATCTATGGAGGAATGATACATACGAAATGTGTAACTGCGCACCTAGAGTAAATTTAGAATTCTATTAAGTGTTTGATGTAGAAATAGTAAAAATCAAAGATTCTATCAAGTGTTCATGTTGGATTTGTTTACCTAGCCCTTTGAATTTAAATTTGTCTTATCATCCCCACAAAGTAAAGGAAATTGAGTGGGAATTTGTAATTCTAACCCTTTCATTTGGCATTGAAAGTTTTTTTCCTTTATTTACATGTCAATTTTTATATATTTTAATAGTAATTTTTCTCTAAATAATCTTAAAGATACAAAATTAATTTTATTTTAAGTGATTTAAAGGCATAAAAATAATTTACTTTTAGATAATTTTAAAGGTGTAAAGATACAAAATTTAAAATTTAAACATTAAATTTGATTTATAAAATAATATTTATTGGTTAATAAATTTAACTATTGATGTTGGTATTGACCGATTATGTTCAACTAATAAATCACCAAAATATTTCAATTTAATTCAGAAATAGATTTGTTCAAGATTATTTTCTTCCATTTCCAGAATCAAAATTAAGTCAGCCATGAGGCGTTGAATAGAACATTCCAAGTATTGGGTTAAGTGTGAAATGGAAGAGGAAGATGTAAAAGCGAGGGTGGGGTGGTTCGGAGAAACAGAGAGCAGACGTAAGGGGCAATGGGATGATGAAAGTGATTGACGTGGCACTTGCATGGTAGGTTTAGGCGGTTAAGTTTGTTAGCAATTGGCACGCGGAAGGAGGAAGTCGTTGGCGTTACGTTCTATTCCTGGCTCCACGTGGTCTACTTTTCCTGCTTCTTTACGCAATTTAATATTCTAATATTAAATAAAAAAATAATTTTTAATTTATTAATTATTTAATTAAATTTATTTACATAATATTAATTTTATTTTTTATTTTTATTTTTTTGAACATTTTTACCATAAAACTGATAAAACCATTGTTCCTCGAAAAAAGAAAAATGAACCTTCAAATATAATTAACGTCACTTGGTTTATAGGCTAGGTTCACATAATATTAATTTTAAAATTAAA